TATGTTTCTGTGAGTGTGTGATTGTATGCGCTGAGTGTGAGGGAGTGTGCACCCTGAGCATAAGTAAGAGTGTATAGAATGTGAACATGGATCAGTGTGAGTGAGCCTGTGGAAGTATGTGTCACAGACTTGAGAGTCTAAGCGTGTGTGCACAATGAGAGGATGAAACAGGACTGCCAGTCCCTGATAAGAGCAGAGAACTGTTGCCTTTGAATTAGTTCTTAACACCTGGTGTCTTGGGGCTGCTGGAACAACCAGATTTTTGTGATGAAATAATATAATTACTGAATTATCACCTTGCAGGAGAGCAGAAAGGGCCAATATCACAAGTGTAATGGAAGCCCAGGGACAATGAAAAAAGAGGGAGATTATATATATTGCAGCAATTCAGTCTTAATTTGCCCTTGTGCCATATGAACTTGGTTAAGTTTCAAGCAAGGACAGATCATAAGCAGGGAAATATATATGTTACTATTATGGTTCTGGTCTCTAAATGTTTATTACAAATTATGAAGAACCAGAACTATGTTACTATCTGTAGCATAAGAGACATAAGGATTTTTGGAACTTGTAACCTATTTGTGAGACAGTTTTTTTTTTTTTTTTTCTTTCTTTTCACTTCATCTATCAGAGAAGAAGTTGAGGCCGAGTAACGAGGAAGCAGAAGCTGAAGAAACAAGGAACACAGGAAGTAGAGTTGCCTCAGTCTCAAAGGGTAGGAACACAGTCTTCAGGGTCTCGTAACTTGGGGTTACAAAGAGTCAGATCTTCACCAAATACGTTTGGTAGTATGAGGCTGCTGTTCACGAGTACCGGGGGATGGGGATGGGCCGGATCCATTGCCCAAAGCTGACAGGTGGGAATGCCATGCCCAAAGGGCAAACGAATGAGGCCTGAGGGGCTGAATGGGGTTGCCAGTTGGGCTAGGAAAACAGGATCACCCAAAGCTGAGGGAACAGAGTTGCCATCCCATTGTCCTTGAAGGTAGCCAAAGCCTGGGACCAAGGTGCTTCCATCCACAATCCAGATAGCATCTCCAACACTCAGAGACACTCCTTAGATGGTATCAGAGAACAGAGGGTTATTTTCAAGCCTTGAGAGCTAATGAAAATTGTTCTGCTGGTTTTGGACTTGCTTGATGGCCATTATGCCTTATTTCCCTCCAATTTCTCCCATTTATGATGGAAATGTGTACCTTGTACTTGTTCCACCACCGTACTTTGGAAACAGATAACTTGTAGTCTAGATTTCACAGGTTCACAGATGAAGAGGAATTTTGGCCCAGGATGAAATACAGTGAACGTCTCACCCATATTTGATTTAGACAATTCAGAAGATGAGATGTTGGGCTTGGAGTCAATTTAAGACTTTTGGGATGACATGATGGAGTGAATGTGTTTTGTGTGTGTCAAGGACATGATTTTTTTGGGGCCAAAAGGTGGAATGTCATGGATTGAATTGTGTTCCCCCAAAATAGGTGTCAATCTGGCTATGCCATGATTCTCAATATTGTGTGATTGTCCTCCACGTTAAGATTGATGTAATTATCCTCCTTTAGTGATGTGTTGCAAACTGTAAGCTCTGCCTGTGGTTAACAAGGCAGAATTAGGTTATGTTAAAGAGAATTCCACCATTCATCTGTCTGTTAGTCATACTGTGGTGGCTTACATGTTGAAGTGATGCCGGAAGCTATGTCAGGTATTTTAAATACCAGGAGGGTCACCCATCATAGACAAGTTACAGTGGAGCTTACAGACTAAGACAGACTAGAAAGAAGAAACTGGAGATCTACTTCTAAAAAAACCTGGCCAGTGAAAACCTTAAGGAGAGTAGCAAAAAGTTGTCTGATGCAGCTCTGGAAGGTGAGCCCCTCAGGTTGGAAGGTACTCAAAATAAAACTGTGGAAGAGCTGCCTCCTCAAGGTAGAGTTGATGTTAATGACATGGATAGAGTAAAACTTTTGGGACTTTCATTTGCTGATGTGGCATGACTCAAAATGAGAAGAAAAAGCTGCAAAGATCCATTAATAATTAGAAAATTGAATGTATGAAACATGAATCTAGGAAAATTAAAAGTTGTTGAAAATGAAACAGAATGCATGAAGATCAATATTCTATGCATTAGTGAATTGTAATGGACTGGTATTGGCCATTTTGAATCAGACAATTATATGGTCTACTATGCCGGGAATGGCAAATTGAAGAGGAGAATTGTTGCAGGAGTAAATTATGTTAAAGACAATTAGGCTATGTTTGTTATGTTAATGAGGCAGGATTAGGGTAGGATGCATCACATCAGGGTTGTATGTTTTCACTATACTTATTCAATCTGTACACTGAACAAATAATCCAGGAGCTGGACTATATGAAGAAGAACATAACATAACGTTTGGAGGAAGACTCATATCACCTCGGAAACCCAAGGAGGGGTGGCTATGAGTTGGGTCCGACTCAACGGCAGTGTATTTATTTATTTATTTTTTAATATACAGTTGACACAACCTTACTTACTGAAAGTGAAGATGACTTGAAGCACTTACTGATGAAGAACAAAGACTACAGCCTTCAGTGTGGATCACACCTCAACATAAAGAAAATGAAAATTCTCACAATTAGACCAATCAGCAACAACATAATAAATGGAGAAAGATTGAAGTTGTCAGGAATTTCATTTTACTTGGAGCCACAGTCAAGCCCATGGAAGCAATAGTCAAGAAATCAGATGATATATTGCACTGGGTAAATCTTCTGCAAAAGACCTCTTTAAAGTGCTAAGGAGCAAAGATGTTGCATTGAAGACTAAGGTGTGCCTGACCCAAGCTATCTTGTTTTCCATAGCCTCATATGCATGTGAAAGCTTGACAATAAATAAGGAAAGTCCTAAGAAGATTTGATGCTTTTGAATTGTGGGGTCGGCAAAGAATACTGAAAATAACATGGACTGACAGAAGAATAAACAAATCTGTCTTAGAAGAAGTACAAGAATGCTCCTTGGAAGTGAGAATGGCCAGACTTCATCTCATGTACTTTGGTCATGTGGTCAGAAGGGACCAGTCCCTGGAGAAGGATATCATGATTGGTAATATAATGGGTCAGCAAAAAAGGGGAGGACCCTCAACGAGATTGATTGACACAGTGGATGAAATGATGAGCTTGAGCATAGCAAAGATGGTGAAGATGGTGCAGGATGGAGAACTGTTTTGTTCTGTGGTACACAGTGTCACTAAGAGTCAGAGCTGATGTGACAGCACCTAACCACAATAACAAGCTAGTCCTCAAATTCAGGTTGTGCTCAAGATATATTCCCTCCATGGAGAGGATGAGTCCAGTCATGGGGGCCAAGAAAGCAGCAGCCTGAAGGGTCTGTGTGAAGTGACAGGGCTGTGGGGTCTCACCCTAGGTGCTGTTTCAATGGAGGGTGGATGTGTCTGAGATGAGGAGGTGGAGAGCAGGAAGCTGCACCACAGGGCTTACAGGTAACCGTAAGGCTGGTCTCACAGGCACAACAGTGGATTTTCTTGGGTAGAACCCTTGGCTGATAGGTGTCAGAATGATGTCTCCAGCTGCTTGACAGGACAACACAGTGAATCTGTCAGATGCCCTTCACAGAACAGAAAGGGCTGTGTGACAACTCAGATGGAACTCCTCAGCCAGGGAGGTGGTCCAGAATTTAAAAAATTTTAAACACTCGTGTTTCCCTACATTGAAGAGATTAGGAGATTTGAAAGAGAAAGTATCACAGCAATCATTCCTTGTTTGTGGGACTGAGAGAGCGCATCAGCCAGACAGTTTTGTGCACATACAACATGGAACAGAATGCACTTGGCAATCCCATCAATTCTCTTTTCCAATTCCGCACTACAAATTTCTTCAAATCTAATTTCAGGGAACTGCCAACAAGAGAAAACTACATTTACAAAGTGCTTTGATACACACTTAAAGAAGTTCTGGTGGTGTAGTAAGTAAGACAGTTGATTGCTAACCAAAAGGTATCTACCAGTGGCTTTGAGGAAGAAAGATGAAGAAGTCTGCTTCTGTAAAGATTTATAGCCCTGGAAACCTAATGGGGTTGCTATGAGTGGGAATCTGCTACAGGGTGGTGAATTTTTTTTGGATACGTATTTTAGAAATAACTAATGAAAATAAACACTAATGTACAAATATAAAAGTGAACTTAAAAATCCATAAGAGACTTTTGGAAAGGTTGTTTTCATATAGAATTTGAAGGACATGAAGGGTGGACACTTTTTAAGTGACAGCAGTCATGAAAGTAGCTGACAATTTTCATGAAAAATTTTGTTATGCAGGAAGAAAAAACACTTTTCATGCTATTGATAAAAATAATAAAAAATTATTCTTCACCCGTGGAGACAATTCCACTGAGGATTTTAGGTACGGTTTTAGTCTCTTAGGGCAGTCATAATAAAATATCACAAGTGGGTGGCTTTAAAGAACAGAAATTTACTTTCTCACAATTCTGGAGGCATGAAGTCAAAATCAATCCTTCTGGAATCTTTGAGAGAGAAGCTGTTCCACTACTCTGTCCTAGTTTCTGGTGGCTGAACATTCTGAAGCCCTAGACATTCCTCAGGGCTAAAACCAAAAAGCGAAATCCATTACTGTTGAGTTGATTCTGACTCATATTGACCCTAGGACAGAGTAGAACTACCCCAAAGAGGTTCCAAGAGTGTAAATCTTTATGGAAGGAGACTAACACATCTTTCTACCATGGAACTGCTGGTGGGTTCAGACCACTGACCTTTGGGTCAACAGTCCTCAGGACTATCCACCCTAATTGTGAATGGCACCTATATGAGCACCCTTGCTGCTTTATTTCTAACCCAAATATCATTGCTATAATCTCCATTGTAGATTCAAATGGCTAGCCTGGGATGCTAAATCCAATTATTCCTTTCTTGCCCCGTGTACCCAGCTATTCTAATGCCCTTGTTTTTCCTCCTTCTGCAGGTCACTGACATGGAGGACTCCTCAGTGTCCCCTCGTGCCCCACTCTCTGCATCCTTCCCCTCTGTGGTACCTTACCACACGGGTTGGAACATTTCACCAGAGGAAGGGGCCATGAGCCTAGAGAAGGCCTTAGCAGATGGGAAGTTGCTGGAGGTGATCTCTATGGTTAGGGAGACTATGAAGACAGCATCCAGCACCCCAGTGAACATTGCTGTGACAGGGAACTCTGGCAATGGCATGTCTACTTTCATCAATGCTCTGCGGGGCATTGGGCATGAGGAAGAGGACTCAGCTCCCACTGGGTTGGTGAGAACCACCCAAACACGTGGCTCCTACTTGTTCTCCTGTTTTCCAAATGTGGTACTCTGGGACCTTCCTGGCATGGGGACTTTATCCCAGAGCCTAGAGGACTATGTGTTGGAAATGGAGTTCAGCCAGTATGACCTCTTCATCATTATTGCATCTGAACAGTTCAGCATGAATCATGTGATGCTTGCCAAGACCATGAAGAGGATGGGAAAGAAATTTTATATTGTTTGGACCAAACTGGACAGGGACCTCAGCACAAGTCACTTCAGGGAGGGACATCTCTTGAAAAATATCCAAGAAAGTATCCTGGAAAATCTCCAGAAGGAGCAGGTAGATGAACCCCCCATATTCCTGGTTTCCAGCCTCGATCCTTTATTGTATGACTTCCAAAAGCTTAGGGACACATTGCAAATGGACATCAGCCATATAAAATACAATGGTCCTCTTCAGATGCTGTCCTACACCTGTGAGAAGGTCATTAATGACAAAGTGATCTCCCTGAAGAAGAAAATGGCCACACACTCTTTACAGGACACCGTTGGCATCTGGGATCCAGATGATTCGATGGAATCTTTGAACACCTACAGAATGCTGTTTGGTGTAGGTGATGAATCTGTAGAGCAGATGGCACAAAGAATGAAAACAGCCACTGTGCACTATATGGCCCTCATCAAATCCCAGAATCTGCAGACTCTCAGAAGAAGTGATTGTAAACTAAGGTTCTTGACTTGTAGAGTCTTTAAGGCATTCCTCAACTTTCTTCGCTACACCCCACTCTTAGGTAACCCTGTCATTCGCTACTTCAGATTGATGAAACACAAATGCATCCTTGAGTTAGTTGCCAAGGACACCAAGACCATTCTGGGGAAAGTCCTGAAAGACTCCATCCCAGACTGAAAGCTGACTTGGGTTTAGTCCAACAAACTTACCATGGGAGGGATTTCAGAATGATTAGGTTTTCTCTTCTTAGTAGAATACACCTTTCTTCACTTTGAGTGAAGATTTTTTTATATTTCTATGGTTATAAATTTCTTGATATGATAACTGCTAATGGCTAAAAGAACTAACAGATCTGTCCTGGAGGAAGTGCAGCCAGATGCTCCTTGGAAGCAAGAATGGCCAGACTTCGTCTCACCTATTTTGGTCATGTTGTAAGAAGGGACCATTCCCTGGAGAAGGATGGCATGCTTGGTAGGGTGGAGGGTCGACGAAAGAGGGGGAGGCCTTCAGGGAGATGGATTGATACAGTGGCTGCGATGATGGGCTCGAGTATAGCAGGGATTGTGGGGCTGGCGCGGGATCGGGCAGTGTTTCGTTCTGCTGTGCATGGGGTCGCTATGAGTCGGAAACGACTCGACGGCACTTAACAACAACAACAATCTTTCTAACATCAATTCTAATGTTCATCTGAGTAACAAGTTTTTGTGTTGAAATCCATTAAGTAAGTTTCTGGGATTAGAATATGGAAATTTTTCTTTCAGTTGCAATGTGTCATGTATTTCTGGATCAGTCTTTCTTCCTTAATGCAGTAAAGTCTTCATCATTCCTCTTCACTAACACCTTTCACTCCTTTCTCCTCATTCCTTTTCTACTTAATTTCACCAGACCAGCTGACACCTTTGATGTAGAGGGTATTTCACAATTTTAGGGACACACAGAGAGTGTGGTTGAAAGTATTCTTTGAAATCCATTCAATGTTGAAGCCAAGACGCCCAGGCAGTCAGGCCTGCCTGCTTCCAAAGTACTAATCTGCACACCAATCTCCACCAGGTGACTAAAACCAATCAATATCATAAAAGGGAACATAGGTTTGCCTTAGTCAGAGTCATGGCAAGAAACAAATGGGACCATCATCCTGGGTAATTTGAGGAAAACTTAATAAGAAGGGTATTTTTGAAGGTGTGGGCAGGGTGTAGGGAGAGCACCAAGAGAAAGTGTTCATCCCAGAGCAACCAACAGGGGGAATGAACCCCTCCATACCTGACCTGGCAAGTGAAGGGGCAGGTTGTTGGAGCCCAGAGATGGTGCTGTACAGAGAAGGTGACCAGATAGGAGCTGTGGCCATGGTAGAGATTGACCATTGAGTCCCAGCAGCCTAACAGGGGGAGCAGAGATAATCAAACCCTTGATCTCACTCTCCTTTCTTCCAGCCTCCTGTCAATGTTGTCATTGGCCAAATACAAATGGAATTTAGAAGGTGATAGCCCCACTGTCACAGTTCATGTAGGTCAGATCTTTTGGATGTGTAACAGAATGGTAGAGGGTGGTTTTGGATTGGGAAGGAATAATAGCACAGTAGTGTGCTGAAAATGATTGATTGCAAAGCTAGTTCATTCCAATGCCAGGGGTGCTAAAATGACAAGTAATTCAAATAGCAAACCTGGACATTCATGACATAAGTACAAAATCCGTCACTTGAGTTATTTTGGGCATTTCCTTTTTACAGACATATCCCTCATCAGGTATTGGTATGCTATTGCTACTCCAGCCTCATGGTATCCAGAGCTAATGCAAGGAATGGAAAGCACAGACTAAATTGTTTTTTAAAGCATTTATATGGATTAACTTTACCGCCACAAAGTCTTTGAGAATCTAAGTGAGTTCTAAGTTATTATTCTCAAAGAAATAAGGAAAAAATGATTAAGTAGTTGTGTGGTTCCGAGAACAGTTTGGCTTTTGGTTGCACTTTCTGAGAGTCAGACCACACCTGAGGCTAATGAGTGAAGCTGCCCAGACCAAGAGGAAGCATATTGGGACCCAATGTTGACTATACTTTAGAAGACATGATGTAACTTATCATGGCTACTTGGTGAGGCCAATAAAAGCCCTGAGCCCTTTGGGTCAGCTACGCTTCCTGTTGGTGAGAGAACTTCCAGGTTGGTCAGAGAACATCTAACCTCTGAGGACATGGAAGTGCTGTGCTGTGACTCCTCCTAGGTTTCACTGTATGAATCTCTTCATTTGTATCCTTTTTGATTGTAATACATCTGTAGTCATACGTATGCTATGTTCTCCATGAGATTTCATGAGTTATTTAAGTGAGTTATCAAGCTCAAAGGGGCAGTGAGAACCAGCAGGAGCTGGCCTCTGCTTATTTCAGAGACTCTCTGAAGTACAGTGTCCCTCTAACTTGTGAGCTCTGACCTAACCCTGGGTGTCTAGGGTCAGAGAAGGGCTGCATGGGTAGCTAGTCTGAATGCTTAATTTGTGAGAATTTACTCAGTTCCAGGTGGTGAGGTCCAGAGAAAGAGGGCCACTTGAGCAGTTGGTGATGAGGATGGAGAAGTGGGAAGATGAGGATTGGATCAGTCTCCACAGTTTCAGGGATTGGATTCATGCTTATCCCTTCACTTAGTTGCCAATAAAGGTGAGATTTACTCACTTTGCTCCTTTCTTAGTGCAGTAGTGCTTACATTCAGTGATCATAGGGCACCATGAACAAAAGTCACTCAGCCATGCAGGGCCAAGTTTCTCTTATAGTATAACAGTGTGCATGATCCAACTGCTGTAACATAAGTATTGTTCCACTTAAATATTTCTTAGATATGGTCATGTATCCTTATGATATTCAGCCTGTAATTTCAAACAATTTTGTGTAAAGGACAAATATTGTGTTATCCCACTTATAGGAACTATCTACAATAGATAAATACAGAGAGACAAAAGTTTATTAGTGCTTACCAAGACAGATGGAGGGGGGAAATGGAAGGTATTGCTTAAGGGACATTGAGTTTTTGTTTAGGGCGTTGAAACAATTTGGAAATGGATAATAGGTGGTGGCTGAACAACACAGTAAACATAATTCATGTCACTGAGTTGTAAATATAAAAATATCTGAAATGGAGAATACTTTGTTATGTATATTTCACACAATAAAATTATATAAAAAAGATGTGTTATAGTGATTGTTCTCGTTAACTCCATAATTTTGTTAACAGTGAAAACTAGATGCTAAAACAAACAAAAATGTTTGTTTTAGGATATCATGTCTAAGAAAATATATTTGCTGTATAAATTTGTGTTCTATCAAAGTACAATTCTCAAACTCTTCCTTGAAATAGTAGCATGTGATTCTAAAAACATCTCTTTTTTTTTTATTATTATTTATTGTGATTTGGGTGAAGATTTACAGAGCAAATTCACTTTCCATACAGAAGTTCACATATAATTTGTCTCATGTCATTGACCACAGTTTACCACAATGCAACAGCTCCCCTCCCACTTCCTCCCCATAGTTACCTCTTCCCAGTGTCCATCCCTCCATACTCTCCTGCCCACTGAGCTGTCTCCCTGTGCATAAGCAGCCCTTCCTTCTCCCATGATTGTTCTCTCCAGGGCATGTGTCTACTTGAGGTAAATGTTTAACTCTCTCCTGCCCCCTGAGCTGTCTCCCTGTGCATAAGCAGCCCTTCCTTCTCCCATGATTGTTCTCTCCAGGGCATGTGTCTACTTGAGGTAAATGTTTAACTCACATGCCTGTACATTGTTTGGCTGGAAACCACAGGTGTGAGTTCAATTCCAGACCTGAAGGGCAGCTAGGGGCCATAGTCTCAGTGGTTCCACCAGGCTCTATCAGACCAGCAAACCTGGTCTCCACCTTCTTTTTTTTTTTTTTTCCCTTCAAATGATTTTGAGTTTTGTTCTACATTGTTCCCCCTCTCAATCAAGGATCTCCTTCATAGATGCCCTTCCAAGTGGATGACAGTGGTAGCTGGGCACCATCTAGTTCTTCTGGTCTCATAGTTGTATAGGTTGCAGATCGCATGGTGTACCAGTTACTAGGACTGATTGTTTCCATTAATTTTGGTTTTCTTCTTTCTTCTTTGCTCTTGACGAGGAGAGACCCATCGTTGCATCTAGATGGCAGCTTGCTAGCTTTTAAGATCCCAGTCGCTACTCACCAAAGTAGGAGGTGGAACAATGTTTTGTATAGTATGTTATGTCAATTGAGCTTGATGTCCCCTGCGACTATGGTCCCAAGCCCGCAGGTTCAGCTACTTGGTTGCTCTGAGTAGCTGGCTGTGACCAAGCCGTGACCGCAACCTTGCCCCTCGTCAACTCTACTATACACCTGGGAATTCTGATCATTCATATAAACTTATAGGACCATTGTCTGCCAACCCTATATATGATCTTGGATACACTCCCCATTTCATAGACATACCTAATCATTTAGCCTGTCCACCTATCTATCCATCCATATACCCATGTTTGCCTTCACTTACAACTCAGTACTGTATATGCAAAAGGGTTCATATTTGTTGTCTGTACTTCCCATGTACCTCTCTATGTCTTTCTCATCCTCAATGCTGCCATATTGGTCACTCACATTTGGTACATTGCCCTTCTCTTCACCCAAATCAATATTTATCTCTATCTAACTAACAGCATTCCCTCCCCTCCCCTCCCACCCCTGGTAACCAACAAAGAAAATTTCCTTCAATAGAAACCTTTCCTTAACTTTTACAATAACAGACTAATACAATATTTGTCCTTTTGTGATTGACTTATTTCACTCAGCATAATGTCCTCAAAGTTCATCCACGTTATGCGGTGTTTTGCAGATTCTACATTATTTTTTAGCGTTGCATAGTATTCCATTGTGTGTATGTACCATAGTTTGGTTATCCATTCCTCAGCTGATGGACATCTAGGTTGTTTCCATGTTTTGGCTATTGTAAATAGTGCTGTGATGAACGTGGGTGTGCATATATCTACTCTTGTCATGGCTCTCACTTCTTTAGGGTATATACCTAGTAATGGGATGGCTGGGTCAAATTGTATTTCTAATTGTAACTTTCTAAAAACATCTTGAAGAACATATTGAAAGACTCCATTTTATAAGTAGTTCTCACAGAAATAGACTGTGAACTGGGTCAAACTTCATATTTGCTACA